AGACTTATTTTTCAGTTTCAGTGATAAACTTGGTCAATAGAGTAACTACGTGCTGACAGATCTTCCTAATCTAAAGATGCACAAATTTTAGTGCAAAAAGACCTAAGGATCTATGACTTTGCAGGAGTACCAGTGTAGCTTTAAAGGTGGTCAAGCTGGTTAAGAGAGATGGGCAGGTAAACTACTTAATACTGAAATAGAAGAAATCTTTCCTTCAAAAACAGGGGCTTCATAAATGATGACAGCATTGGACCTCAGGTATCAGCTAGTTTTCTAAACAAAAGACTGAAAATTATTAATCTTGAATATTTTTTTTTCTTAGCTGGCTCTAGGACATAGGAAGGTCACTTTTTGTTAACCACAAGGATTAGAGAGCATCTCTGGCTCTCTATTCTGCCCACTCAGAGTATTTATTCAGTCCTGGCTAGCAGACTTAAGACCATAAGGGTTTTCATTTGACCAGTTTTCCTTTGAGTAATCACAGGTTAAGGCCTCCTTTATTTGGTTCCTAGAAAAATGGCAACTCCTTTGCATAGTGTGCCTAAGTATTTTAGCATCAGCTTTTTAGTCAGGCTAGGTCTCTAACTGGATCTGATGGCCCCATAGTTTGCTGTTCTACAAATGACATATAAGTAATTCAGAAGAAATAGGTACTGAATAGCTATTTGGCATAGTAGTAACCAGGCTGCTTGCTGGTGAAGTAAAAAAATATGAAGCATAAAATTAACTATATTAAAAAGACCTTGGAGTGTTCACATACCTAACACAGCCTTATCCTCATAGGATCAAGAAATGAGTAATCTTCAGAACTGGGCCAAACGGGTTCTGGAGCTTGAAGAAACAGTGTCTTCCCTGCAGAAAGAACTTGATGAACAGAAAAAGCATTTCTCTCTAGAGGAGCCAAAACAACAAAAACCCCGGAGAGGTTTGTTGGCTAACCTGAAATCTACAGTAGCAGCCACTGGTAGTACACCTCTTGGTAAAGGCTGGGGGAAGTAGGAAGATGCTTCATCCTCTTCAAGAAAACATGTAGTGTTGGCTCATAAAGCAAATTAATATTTTTATTATTATTATTATTATTATTATTATTATTAATAATAATTAAAGTGTGCAATTGCTGGGCTTTTTTATAAATCTTAAACTGTCAATAGCTTTCTCACTCTTTAATGCCATCTTCAATGTCATGTTAACTGACAGAAAAATGTTTAATACAGAACTTTTAAAATTTAATTGGGGTTGAATTTAGAACTGTTTAAGTATAGACCAAAACTTGTGCTTTTTCTGTTGATACAAGGATGAGAATTGAGAAATGTATATATAATTTTAATTTGTGAGTAACTGCTACTATGATCTTCTATACTGATAAATGAGTGATTCATGCAAAGTGGAATGTTCCTTATCTGCTGTTCTTGTTACCTTTTAAAATATCACATTTCATTCTTAATTCCTAGAAATCAGATGGCTTGTAAACTAAATCTTATTATTATTATTATTAATTAAAGAAAGTGTGCAATTGCTGGGCTTTTTTATAAATCTTAAACTGTCAATAGCTTTCTCACTCTTTAATGCCATCTTCAATGTCATGTTAACTGACAGAAAAATGTTTAATACAGAACTTTTAAAATTTAATTGGGGTTGAATTTAGAACTGTTTAAGTATAGACCAAAACTTGTGCTTTTTCTGTTGATACAAGGATGAGAATTGAGAAATGTATATATAATTTTAATTTGTGAGTAACTGCTACTATGATCTTCTATACTGATAAATGAGTGATTCATGCAAAGTGGAATGTTCCTTATCTGCTGTTCTTGTTACCTTTTAAAATATCACATTTCATTCTTAATTCCTAGAAATCAGATGGCTTGTAAACTAAATCTCAAGTAGGTTAAATAGTTGAAGTTAATATTCTGGTTTTGACCTGGAGATTGGCCTCTTGGGACCAAAAGAAGCAAATGCTGGAAGAGGCAACAAAATGAGGTAGCTTCTAGCTCCTTGCTATTTTTCAGCCAACTTGGCTTTGTAAAGGAACTTTTTTTAATATCATTTGAATTTCCACTAAGAATATGCATTAAACTTTTAAAAAATCTATTTATAATAAAATTTTTTAATTGCTAAATTAAACTCTTGGTGTTCATCTCATAAAGGTGAGAAAATTAGTGAAATCAAAGTGAGGAAAGATCATAAATTTAGGAGGCCAGACAATCATAGTGACTGACATATAATGGCTGGGTTGAGTTAAAAGAATCATAGCCCTGATTGTGTATTACTTACCTTTATGTAGTAACTCAAGGAAGGGAGTCTGGAACATGATGGAAATTTGAAACAGTTTTCTTAGAACCTTTTCAGTCTGTGAAGGTGAGAGTTTTTTCTAACTACTGTGAGTGTACCATGCCTGTAAGTGCAGGAGAATTGCTTTAGAGCAAGGCAAGCTCCATGAGTAATTGGATCGAGCAGTGTTTCCAATAGTGGAAGGGGACCCAGTTCAGAGCAAGAACTTCATGCTCCCTGTAGAGACTCTAGGTGGTGCAGCCTTCCTGTGTGACAGAACAGCCCTTCTCGGGTGTCAATGTTCTTCCTCAGTCTTTGGAATTTTGGGTTGGTCTGTGCAAACGCAGTGATAAGTGATTACTCTGACATGTCTTTAACCAGGCTGGAGATGCAGCATTTAAGCCAGTGCTGTTCTCATGTTTTGAACTCTTTCTGTTAAATATGGGTTGCCTGGCTCCAGTATTTCTAAAGGTTTATAATCCCTCCAGGGTAGAATTTCTAAAATATTATGTTACTCCCACACAAACTATTCCAGCTATTAAAAGATATTTTTGTGTAGTGGTATAATACACTGAGTGTTGATCCCTTGAATAAGAAAGCTGTTCCATGCTCTACATACATTGCTCTAAGAACAGCAATATTGAAACAGAAGTTAAAAAAATAAATCATCAAAACAGGCTAATGCTGGAAATTTTCTATAATACCATTTCAAAAGATTTAGTGCTATGTGTTGACAGTTTGTCACTTGTCTGAGAGTATATGTTAGCAAGTTTATGTAACACTAATTATAACCTCTTACTCCCTGAGCAACTGCTGTTTCCACATTCCCTCCTACTTCTCAGAGCTCTTGGCCTGCCTGCAGGAAATGGCTTGAAAGACAAGGTTACATTATCATAAACTGTTTGGTTTTTTTTTATTCCTTAAAATAAAATGAAGCCTGTAGAGAAGTACTGACCAATCCCTAACTAATGTTTTCCAAAGAGTTGTGATGGACTATGTTGCTATTACATTAAAGACTTCTGGGAAGCTGTTTTAAAGGACAGCTGAGGAATGTATTCTTCTCTTCCTGCCCTCCAGACCAAAAAGAAACCCTACTAAAGATACAGAAATGGTTGGTTTGGTCCTTTTCAGCTTCTCAAAACTGAATGGGTGTCAGGAAAGCAGAATCCATTAGTCTTGTTAGTGGTAATGAACAGATGTTCCTCTGTTCCCTATGAAACTACCACACTGAATACAACATCAACCAGTTGTTTTATCTCAAATTACCACCACACAACTTGCTTCAGATGAAATCTTTATTAAAATTAAAAATCACCATATAATAGAAACTATTTACATATTTAACTGATAGTCTGCTTAAACTGCACAGTTTGTCTGAAAGAAGCCAATGGAACAGAAAAGCAATGAATATTTATGCTGTTGAACTTCAACTGCAGGCACACTGAAGCTTTGACAAAAGAGTTTTATGCTTCTGCAAAGTACCATGGCCTAAATAACTGGGCTGAGGGGTGGCAAAAGGTGTACTGGGTTTCAGTTGTAAGAACCAGTGTCACTCTGGAAAAAATCAAAGTAATCTATGCTGTAGTTACATTGCAATTGCACTAGCTCAGCTGTTCTAGTAAGTAATTTGATAAAAAAAATTCAATATATAGAGCTTATCAAATTGCATTCACTTTCATGAATTAGATGTATATACTGAGTAACAAATCTATAGTGTCACTGCAATGTAACTGGCTCTCCTATTGCATATTTCCACAAATGTTTTTTGATAGTGCTAGGGTGAGTTTTAGCTTTAGAACAGATCTGAGGTTAGTTGATTAAAGCAGCAAAAATATAAGGAATATTCTTGAATAATCACAGAGGATTAAAAATTAGGATGAAAATATTTTCACTGGTAGCAGTCTCAGTGACTGCAGTGGAAGTATTAAATTCCTTCAAAACCCTGTGCTTTCCCAGGGACTTCACAGGAGGGTGACTTGGGCCTTGTGGGAAAGTGAAGGTTGAATAGAGATAGGTGTGCTGCTGCTTCTGTTGTTGTGTGTTCACATTGCACTTCTGCAGCTGTGATGGCTGCCTGATGCTTTGAAAATTACTTTTAAATTTCAGTAATACAGCAGTAAAACAGAATCATCTTCAGTGTAAATAATTACATACGTAACCCTTAAAGGAAACCATGACACTGTTCAGAAAGTCTTATAAGAGGTGACAGTACTTCAGCTACTGATGTGAAATGACAAGAATATAAAAATATCTTTCTTCAAATACAGCATATTGTGAAACTTGATTTTAAGAACATTGCCATGTCTTAAAGCTGTAAGTTCTTAATGACTTTTTCTTGTGAAAATGGCTGTTCAAGAATCTTCTTACCCCTTTTATAATGAGCTACTTGTAATGAATTCCATGACTTAGATCCTAGGAAGGCAGTGTCAAACTGTACCTGTGCATTACCACGTTCCTTCCTTCTCCCTCCTGCCCCGAAAAGCCTGCTTCCTTTGGGATGTTTCTGCAGATGCAAAACACAGAGCATTTAAAGAAGAACTTCAATCTTGAGAGGAACTTTTTTAGCCAAGTAAGACCATTACTATTTCTCTGCAGAATTACTCTTTTCATCAGCATTCCAGCTTCCACACTTAGTTAAGACTTCCAAACTCATGAAGCAATTGGTTTGAGCAGTCTGTCCAAATAGCAGTCTGTGCCAGTGATCCATGTCAATAGAAAAAATGTTCTTTGTTCTATGGCTGTTGTTGATACTGCCCTTCTGTTGCTGTGTAGAAGTCATCAAGCACACTCTGTAGATAATCAAATGTTGGCCTCTCTTCTGCTTTGTCTTTCCAGCATGTTTTCATGATATCATAAAGCTCAGCTGGACAGGTTTCCATGCGAGGCATTCGGTACCCGCGCTGAAGAGCAACCATCACATCTGAATTGCTCATACCTTCAACAGAAAAAGAAAGGTTTAATCCAATGATCTCAGTTCTTGAAGAAACTTTTTTTTTTAAATTTACTTCACTCTAAAGATCTTCACTGTTATTACTTATTGAAGGTAGCTACTCATACAAGTTTAATAAACAAGGCTGAGGTCTGTTCCAGAACTGAGAGACTTGCTTTGAAAATCCTGGGGGAAGATTTCCATTTCTAAAGCTGAGTGTAGTGCCAAGTTGAACGAGACTGGGGAGGGGGAATCACAATTCTTGTCTTCAGAACCAGCTCCTTTCTGTTCATCTGACTACCTGCTACTGTTTTGTAGCTCCTCAGCAGTGGTGAGATTCACAGCAAAAGCCCACCATGGCAACTGCATTTGTCTCCTAGCTGCAGGGCTTGTGTAAGTGCTGCCAATTGCAAGATACTGAATGATGTCACATGTGATATTGTTACTTGCAACAGGCAATTTCCCCTCCTTTCTTCCTCATCCTATTTCTATTGTGCAAAACCATCTTGCCAGCTGTGCTGAGCTTTGTTGTTTTTCCCATTACAGGTTTTTTTCAGAGGATAAGAACTATCAGAAGTGCATTCTGAGCCTCTCCTGCCAACTAATGTCACATGAGAGAGGCCTGCCCTTGATTCATCATCCTCTTTTTTTCTTTTTCCTCACCTTCCCCTCTCTTTTTTTCTTTTTTTTTTTTTTTAAATCCTTGAGAGATTGGTTCCCAGAATGATTTCGACATCTACTCTCAGAAGGTCAACTATTTCAGGGGCAACAAAAAGGCTTACCACTTCCCACCCAGAAACCTTTCTTTCAGCTTGTCCCTTCTGAAAATCTTATGCAACTCAGTGGAATGATTATGCCAGGATTACCCTCTCCAGGACATGGACTCTAAGCTTTCTGTGCTCCAGTGAATTCCGTCTCTTCTGATGACTGGGCATGCAGCAAATATTTGTGTTTCAGCCTAGGTATTTGCTACCACTAGGGAAGAGACCCTTGCTTTTGAGAAGGGGATGTTGGACCCCACAGCTGCTTGGCTGCTCCTCAGGCTACGTGCTCCATGTGGCATACTTCTACAGACTACAGTTCCTCCTGCTTTTCTTGGGCACCTCAGCTTCTTGTCAGGTGCATGTGTGACATTCACTGCTCCTGCTTATACCAGTTCCTCAGAGGTGTGGAGAGAGGAGCTATATTGTGCTGAGAGGAGGCAGAATGGGTCCTGCTCCAAGCAAGGTAGGTCGCAGAGATGCAGATGTGGTGCTCCCCTGAGCCCTGGGTGACTGTGCAGCTCTGGTGCTGCAGGCTGTGTGAATCTTTGTACATGCTATCCAACTACTAAAGCTATGATTTAAGCTGTCTGGCAGGTAAGGACACATTTGAATTACAACCAGCTGACAACTATCTGGTATAACTTCTTTGATTATTCAAGATTATTATAGTTCACATAATAGACTTCAGTTCAAGCCTTTTGGCTTCAACATATTCTAGAACAACTATCAGCCATGAAATCTGAATCAGAGTGCTTATTTGGGCATGTCTTTTGCCTTTTCAGTTCTGCTTTGGAAGGAGAAGTTTTTCAGAGCTAACATTGCATATGTGTGTAGAGAAACAATATTTTGAAAGTAGGAGGGAAATGGCATGTCACAGAATAAGGAATTAATGCTACATAAAACCCAAAATAAATATAGGAAGAAAGACAATCAAGCATTTTGTAGACAACAGTGATCTGACTGCTTGAGCTTAAAAATGGATCTATACAGTAATCTGTACAGTAAAACAGTTGTTCATATACGCAAAGTCTTAGTTAACCATATGTAATGCATGAGGGCTGCTGCTACAGGGTTTTGTGCACAACGGGGCTGCTTCTGTGGGTTTAAGGACTTTATAGTTAGATGTAGGGTCTGCAGAACATTCTCAATGATGTTACAATGTTATATTCTCAATGCCCCAGCCTGTTTTTCAGCTAACTTGCAGGAAAACTATCTGCTAAAGAACCTATGAAGTTCACAAGACAAAAATGAAAAGATTTTTATCAGTATTCTGTGGTAAGTACGATGTCATAAACATACTTTTGTATGTTTCAGGTCAGGTTTTATTGAAAACAAAAAGGCTTACCTGCCTACCCTACAGTCCATGCAGTATTCTCAAAATAACTACTTGTATAACTTTTCCTTTCTTTTTTAATATATGTTTTGTGGCTAGAGAATTACTCGTCTCATAAAAACTACATCCTAATCACTAGAAGAAATAGATCCCACTTGCATATTTTTTACACTTACACTCTATTAAATGCTAGCAAAGGACATTAGCTCTAAAGTTTTGGTACCTGCCTATTGATTTACGCTGTGGTACCTCTTAAGTGTTACAGATGAAGACATGTTTGCTTATGTTAGAGTCTGGGAAATGATGTGAACACAGTGGTATGGAGGAAGAATCCCACTGTATAGGAAGTGGCGTATCTTGTGAGGAGCAGCTGACATAATTGGAATGCAAGTATGGATGTTGCCTGTATTTGACATGCTATACAATAACCTGGAAATCAGTTTTGATAACATATTCAACATACTTGCCCAGAGATTCAGATACTTGTGTTATATTTCAGATGTAGTTTCTGAAACTAAAGTCCTGCTGATTTCTCTGAGTTTCTTGGGAAGAGAAGCAGCTGGTGAAATTTAAGAACACAGACCACAAGAGCCCCAGATTTCTTGGCTGGAAATGCTTCTTACCAAGTTGCCTGCCTAGATTTTCTTCACAGGTATTAAGTACTTGTCATTTTCAACTCAAAGTGTTTCATATACAGCTTTATGCTGAACACTGTCTAGTTACTGGAACTGGTTAATAATTGAAAATAATATTTTTAAGTATTCCAGTCAGAACAGAAAAGTCAATTTATTGTTTCTCTCCAGTGGCTGCTGGTTACAACCTATGAGAAAGTTACACTTGCCATGTTGGGGTAATTTTCCCAAACCTGTTGCATCTTTTAATGTGAAGTAAATTGGTCACTCATTTATTTTGCTGTCCCTCTGATTCTTTAGTATAAACTTGCAGTCTAATAAGCAATTTCAATTTATACTTCTATTTAAAATAGACATCTATCTCTCCCTTCCAATTTAATTCAAACAATGACTGCAAACTATTAAAATCTTCCAGTGTGCAGCCAAGAGGCTTCCACTTGTAATTGCTCATTGACAAATTAATCCACAGTGTATGGCCTATTTATGGTGCTCATAAAAATGCTCCTATATTAAGAAAAATATTGTCTCTCTTCTCCTAGAAGAGATTTTCCCACAGTGGAAGAGCAGTACAGTGTCTGCTGTACAGGTTGGTTGATTCTTATTTATTAAATAAAACCATGAGAGAGCAAACTTAGCTGCAGAATTAAGCAGTAGATTGTGTTTTGTATTTTTGTAGTGCTGGTTTCCAGGTGAGCCCATAGGTTTGCTGAGGGAAGGACAATTTACAAGGCATCCAAAAATCACCTTGTGAGCCCAGCTCAGTGTAGGCAACTGTCTGTGTACAGAGGCATGTGCTAACAGGAAAAAAAAATATCTGGACTGTGGGAAGAACCATGTGTTACTTCACTGCACACAGCTCCCACCTGACCCACCCTGGGGATGGGAGCAGTGTGAAGAATAGCTTTGGGAGGACCTGCTACTCAGTCACATATTTTATAGCCTTTACCTAAAAAGTAGTCTAGAGCATATGTTTAAACACTTAGCTGTGCAAGCAGCCCTATCACCTCTTGATGTTTAAGGGGGCTACCCTTGAGCTTAAGTGCTTTCCTGGACTGAAGCCTTAGTGATCCATGAGAATGTCTGGTTTGGCTCTACCTCTTGTATGGAAAGTTGATGTGTTCTTCCATAACATAGTGTAAAGCTGGCTGCCGTCATCTCTCCCCTGTGGCCTCTGTCTCCTTGTTACCCAGAGGTGTTGAGCCTACTGTCATTCCAGGACCTGGGACTCAGGTCACCCAGGTCTGCCCCTTTGACATCTCTGGCAGTTTGGGATACTAAAAAACCCCAGCAGCTTTACACAGCACCAGTAGAGACTGTGCTGCTGCCCACATAACCAGGACCTGTGACTATTCAGCACTTGCTGCAGTTGTAGCACCTTTTAAGTATATAAAAATGACTGTGTTGATGGTGCCTATGGTCTGATTGCTAAAACTTCAGAGAGGCACATGGTTTACACATCCAGTGACTACAAGGTTTCAAAATAATTACATTACCTGCATGACATTTTCCAAATCATTGCTGTTGCTACTGTCAGATGCCAGCTCTTCCCCTGGGTGTTTTCTTTGCTTTTTGACACCAAAGCATAAAAACAGAGTAATGATATAAACTCACACCCATACCTGGATAAGGAATCTTTCCATATGTAACAATTTCATACAGGAGGATCCCAAATGACCACACATCAGACTTAATAGTGAAAGATCCATAGTTAATTGCTTCTGGCGCTGTCCATTTAATAGGGAATTTTGCACCTAAAAAAAAAATGTACAATCTCAATCAAAGACATTTAAACACGTTATCAAGTCACTAAAAGGCATTAAGCAACTTGCCTATGATATCCTTTGATTAGCAAAGTTTCCAGCTCCTTCAGTCCAAGAGTTGCCAGCAGGCATGTGCTGCAAGGACATGTCACAATGCATGTCCTTTGTTGGAGATGCAAATAAGATGTCGAAAGTGATGTAGCACTTTTGGACTCTTCAACATGGTGAATTTCTGTTAAAATTACAGTCACCATTTCTGCCCAGCAGCCAGGCAACAACTTCAAAATTTCCCATCAGCTGGCACTTTGCAAGATTTTTACTAACTTCTATTTTAAAGACAGTCTATCTTCAACATATACTTTAATGCATTTTGCATTCAGCCATAGATGCAAAAAAAAAAAAGTCATATCTTAAAAAGTCATATATTTAAATACCATCTTTCATGCCTAATTAACTGATTCCAGAAAATTCCATACAAAAGAAAACTCCTTCCAGTGAAATAAGAAAAGTTCAAGCAGCCTTTGTTGGGGAATATTACATTAGCTTTTCAGACAATGAAGAGTAATAGAAGCAGATTCTCTCTATGCCCTTTTTAGCCTGCTTCATAATTCTAGCACAAAATACCAGGTAATCTAGGAAACTTTTCTGAATGGCAGAAAACACATCAAAGAAACGTGGTATAAAGAATGTATAAACTGAAAGGTTAATTTAATGAATACACAATGTCCAGAGCTGCTAAAAAACACTGGTGTGGGTTCTGTACCGCTGAAAATTGCTTAATCAGATCCTTCCCTCTGATCTATTGAAATACTGTTACTCAGGGACTGCTGAATGGCTCATCTTCCTTTAATCTCAACTGTAGCCCATTGTTCTCTTTCTTCCTTATACCTTAGTTCTTCCTCTCTCATCCTACATTACCACAGTTTCCATCCAGACTGTGTGAAAATATGAGGTAGTGTCTTTAAGAGGAGAGGGGGAAAGCCAGTCAACAAACCTGTTCAGGAAAGTGACTCTAATTAAATTTGTGCATGGAAGCATATATAGACACTCTGAACAACCAAGAACTGACAACACACTTCTTGGAAGCTGACAATACTGGCTAATCACACATGGCAAAACACAGACAAATATGTTTAATAGTATAATTTCCCCTCTTGCCAGTCCTGACCCTGCCGTGGTGTTACCTCCCACCCCCGTGCTGAACAGGGACACAACCCAGCCTTACAGTGTCCCTATATGTCGCAGCAGCAAAGCTGCTGACCATGCTAATCAATGCTGCAGCTCCAAAAGCAGCTTCCAAAGATAACCAGTTCTGCTCAAGCAACTACACCTCCTAGGGCTCCTTCTTTGCCCTAACTGAAAGCGGGTGCTTATGGCTCTTAAAAGACAGGAAGAGAAAAGATCTTATTTTCGTGGCATTTAGTTCTGTGGGATGAAAGCTGTGGCTATGTGATTAATTTCAATTTAGAAAAACTTCTGTGCAGTTAAGCACGTTCAGGTTAGCTTGTTTTTTAAATTTATATGTTTAAAATAAACTTTTCAAACTGCCTGGGGAGCACAGAAATGTTACTTGTTTCCTTACATCTTTTAAAAAGTTGTTGGCATTAGAACGCTGCCTCTAAAAGTTATCATGGCATTTTCTGTCCTTGGTGACCACATTGTTGTTAGCTACAGCCTGACTGCCTCCCAGAGACTGAAGTTTTAAAGACAAAAATAAAAACACATACCTTCCCTTGCTGTATATTCATTGTCTTCGATGACTCTTGCGAGTCCAAAATCGGCAATTTTGCACATCAGTAAGTCCGAAACCAGCACATTCGCCGCCCTCAAATCTCGATGGATATAATTTTTTCTTTCTATGTATGCCATCCCTTCAGCAATCTGTGATAAAAGAAACAACTGCTTTGATATTTTGACACCACACAACACCATCAGCAGGTCTGACCTCTCTGTTATTTCCATGTATGAGCAAAGCTGCACCCACTTATTCTTCACCAGTATCTTTAGAGCATAAGCAAGAAGAGGGTGATTGTCATAGAAAACTTCTGAGTAGGTCCAGTCCTGCAAAACTATACTTACAGTATCAGCTTCAAAATAATTGTTTGGGTGAATAACAACTGGCAGGATTACACATACGTATGAGAGACGTTTCCTGACACAAAATCACAAAGTGTCCCTAAGGTTTCTACTAAAAATATTATCTTCCCTGAATTATTAAAGTTTATTTTCCAAATATTAAGAAAATTGAAGGAATTAATAGGTTAAACAAGATATGGATGTTATTTTAGGGGGTTGACAAAACAACAGTGCAGATAGAGTTAAAAAAAACCCAACAAAACAACATTCTGTTTACCCAGTAAAGGCCTGGATAATCAGGAAACAATTACTAACACAGGGCAAACAACTTTATTTTCTTCTACAACAACAGGTACCTGTTCATACATGAGGAGTGTTTGGTAACAGGCAGCTCTCAGATACAATCAAAAGTAAATTTAATTTGTATTTCAGCAGCCCAATTTGATTTCCAAACCAAACTAAAGATAATAATGTCCTCAAAATATGCACTGGGGATGAATTTTTTAGTTTTTATCCAGACTACCATTTTTATTTTTTTTTTCCCTTTAAAGAAACACATTTAACTTTTCAGAAACTGAAACTAGTTTCTAAACTCAGAGCAATAAAACTGATGTGTAGACTGTATTCTGTCCAGAAGTTTAAAAGGAGCTAGGAAAAGAGAAAAAAAATAGATCCGGTTGTGAACTGTCAATTTTTCTCTCCCGTATGAGTCTCTGGTGATGGGTCATTCCCAGGCCAGGCCCATGGTCCAGCCTGTCTCCAGGATGACTGTGGGTGGGTGACAGCCAGCCTGTTCCCAGCCACATGGTTTGGGAAATGCACAAGCTCTCAGATTTGCTAATGAAGCAGCAATAAAGCAGTAAGGGTCCTTCTCCAATCCCCAGCCCACTCATGCACGGGCTCTTCCCTTAGGAAGAGAAGACACGTGCCCAGATCCCTTCTCAGAGCCAGAGGTGCTTGTTTCAGCTGTGCAGTAAAGCAGGCAGGAGCACCTGACCACATTTTAAGAAAACATTAACATCACTTCTGCTTATCCATTTTTAAAAAGTCCCCAAGGGGCACTGTGAAGGCCCACTCTGCAGCCACTTACAACACAAAACCACATGGTCTTTGTTCTGCTTTTTCTGTTTAGGCAATGGAAAAATAGAGCCACTTGCCTTCCCACCTCCTCCCACTGCAAACCTTTTCTTCAGAACAGAATGTTACGTTGCCCTTGTACAACACAAGGGGCTTCTGACACTAAACCAGAAAGAAACTCCAATGATGAAGCGTATGAAGAGCACCTGCATTTTTTCATGGGCTAGAAATAAGACATTTTATAATGAGGGAAGCAGCTGCTAGTGAAGGATTGCCACAGAGAGTCTTACTAGAGACTTAAAAAATAGATGAGTTGTATTTGATTAGAGCCCACTCTGCCTAATGCCAAATCTGGGTTTGGGGAGGAAGGTGAGATGAAATGGAAGGTTTTCTGCAAGATCAGTGCTGAGACTGGGCTGGCCAGCTTGGCAGAGACAGGTCCACCAATGTCACCAAAAATACATCATCCTCCATGAACAACCGATGTTTGTCCAACTTCCCTGCACAGATTTAATATTTGGGTTGACTGCTGGGTGGGGAATGAAGAACTGTTTCACAAAAGAGATGTTTGTGACGGTGATACTTAGTTTCCAAGCCCAACCATTCAAAGCCATTGGAAAGACCATTTTATTTCCTCTTATTTGTGCCAGAGTCACTGAAGTAACCATCTGATTAGTCACAAATGAAGAATGTGACATCAAATGATCCATTATCTTTCCAGCAAATAAAAAATACATTTCCGTGAAACTTCGGAACAATGCTCTTGACTGCACTGAATCAGAGAAATTTAAAGGAGCCATGCATGAGCAAATATTTGGGCATGAAAAAAATTCCCAAGTGGGAAAGAATAATGGGCAAGGAATTTTGAATCAGAGAGGAAGAGGAAACACAGCAGCTGAACAACTGAATTGACACATCTGGTCATGTTAAACCTTTGGTTGTAGGGA